GTCTCGTAGTGTTTAATTCGAGGCATATTTTAATAAAAGTGTTTCATACAAGACGCTTTATATTAATTTTATCTTAAACATTTTCTCATTTGTGACAAAAGTTGAATCATGTCACATTGATATTCAAACTATTCCAGAAAAGAATTTTTTATTTTGTTTTTTCCCTTGCTTCAAATGTGAGCTATACAAGTGTCTGAAATAGATCGATAATGAACGTTTCTTTTGTATTGCAGAGGTTAAGTGTAGTTTTTTTATGCAGTGATGAAAAAGTCTATGTACGTGAAAGTGAATGTAGCTTATCTCCACCAAGACACCAAACTATTGAGCAGATATGCTTCCAGTCAATGAAAATTTTTTGTTAATCTACATATTACAAGCGGAATATGTCGTCGTCTTCTGTTTATAAATTCTAGTCAATGGAAATCAGTATCAGTACGTCAGTGTTCCAGTATGCGTCAGTGCAGACACTGCAGTCAGTGCGCTCAGTGTCAGTATGCCACTGCAGACAGTGCGGTCACTGCCAGTGTTTCACTGCAAACATTGCGACCACTGTCAGTGTGTCACTGCAGACAGTGCGGTCACTGTCAGTGTCATCAGCGTACCGGTGAACGCCAGTGCGGTTTTATCGGTGGTCAGTATACTGAAACTGCACATCCCTAGTATCTCCCTTAAACATCATGATATCGAGCTGAAAATTGTACCATAGCTTCATCACTATAGCCCCAACATGTCCTGAAAATTTCACGCAATTTGAACGTTCCTGGGCTGAGATCGATTTTTGAGTGGGGTGGGGGGGCTTCAACAAATCAAGAATGAACAACAGAACAAAAAATAATGAAGGTATTAGGTTTAATCTTTAATCTTTCTTTTTTTTTGAATCATATGAACGATAAAAAGTCCTCCTGTGGTCTTTTTATTGATACTGTTTTTATTTGAGAGAGTAAACAGTGAAGAAAATAAATAATGGTCGGGTAAGCTATGATTTTCTTTTCAATACATTTACCTCTAATTAAACTTTTTCTTTTAATCAATGTTGCCAATACGTGACGTCATTGTTCAACGTCAAATAAGGTGAGTAATGATGATTTTGCTATTGAGCATGGGTACAGGGCTACTCTAAACAATATGTGTGTTAGTAAGAGGGAGGAGTGAGTCATATTTATTGATGTTAGGCTCCGTTTATCCGAGGGACTGCTGGATAGCTCGTAAAATACGAGTCGATAACTGTCTCTGTGTTCATGATACGAGATCGAACCTTCGGATTCCTTGAAACATAACATCGAATGAGTGCATGTGAATGGCATCGAGATTCCTGAACATGCACGAACTTTACGCTTACAATGAATCGAATGTCTATCATTTACCACAAATCGCTATCCCCAGATTCATCCCTAAATCGTATCCACATTTGTGGATAATTAAGGAATTATGATTAATTCTGGTCACCAATTAGGGATTTTGATTTAGGGATTTTTCAATTTAGGGATTTTTTTTAAAAACATCATCTGCTATGCAAATCATAACTGAAAATAATCTCAGTATTCATACCATTCTGTACACACAAAGTCCTTTGTTCGTTAGTTTTAGAACGGAGACCTCATTCATACGTAATATATTTTAACAGCGAATCTGGTCACCAGATCCAAAATGCAATGCAGATATTTAGTATCTTAGCCGTTTTTGTCGTCTTGTCTTATTAATCTGTCTAGTCATTGTAATTAATTTAGAAATTAAATTCGATATTCTCCTTTAAAATGGAGTAATGATCAAGTCTAATTGAAATGACAGTGTATCAAAAATGAACAAACCTTCCATAATGAAAGGACAGATAACTTTTCAAATACACTCTAGGATTATATTTTAATCTTATTCTGGTAATCAGATACAGAGATTTGATCATGAGATTGTAACAAAAGTATGTCGTTGTCTGAAAAGTTTTTCGTAACTTTTATTTACAATATCCACACTTTTAAATTTGTTAAATATTATTAAAAAAAACGACTGATCATAAAACTATCAAAAAAAGTGTGGCAAAAAGAAACAAAGAAATTAATAGTATGAAAAAAAACATAATCTTTTAATGCAAAATACGCAAAATTATTAATTTCATATAACACAAAGGTTCAAAACAAGTAAAATACGACAAAAGTAGTAGAGAAGAAATAAACAAAGTGCAGTGTACATTCTGGTCACTAGATACACAATTAACTACAATGACAAGCAGAGAAGAAAATCGTTATAGAAGTAGAGAAAATGTTCACCTTTTTCTTACATTGTTATTCCCTGTCAAGCTTTTCTTGCTATCCATTTCGATGATTCCAATAATAATGTTTCTAAAGTAAGTGTTCCAGCATTATAACTATTCCATAAAGATTGCAGAGCACCATCAATAAGAACTGTTTTTGGTGCTCGTTTTCGTTTGTGAACTGGTACATCTGAAATCACTTTCATTACTAATTGTTGTACAAGTAATTCTTCTTTTTCAAACCATACAATAAGACGATAAAGATGTGGATGAGCTGATAGTTGAGCTGACATTTTATTATTGTATCCTACAATTGAGAAAAGATTAGAGATCACAATTAGTTTAAGATAGTCGAAGTTGAAATTTTTTAGGTATCTGGTGACCACATATGTAGTAAAGATATGAATCATGCATCTATTATACACTGACTAATTGACTTGTTGAAATTTCTTTTTCTAACTTTGAAAAAGTTTAGAATCTGGTGACCACATGCTATTCTCGAAATTGGAGTTTATTTTCAATCCTTGATAGGTAACTGCTTTCAGAAAGAATCGAATATGTAATTAAAATACTATTTACCTTCAAGACCATTATTTGTTCTTATTGGTTGATCAAATACACAAAATTTATAAATCTTTGTCAACCAGTATGATTCGTAATACTTCAAAAATTCACGTAATTTTCGACGAATAGATCCTGGTCTTGATGGAACATTATTTAGTTGTGGTACAATCACGTCATCGTATGCTATTCTAATTTGATCATTTGGAATGAATGCCAGCGCCATAATTTGACGCAGAATTTGTCGAACCACTTCTATATTTTGATAAGCCTCTTGTAAACCTTTACTTTGAATGTTTCGATAAATTGCTTGATTATAGTGGAACGCACAACCCAACAACTTTGTATTTCGTAGCTAAAAATAGAAAAGGAATAGAAACCTAGAGGTTTTATAATAAAGCTTGGGAATCTGGTTACCAGAAACTATCGATTAATGGATGTTTCTTCTACTAATTATCCCTTTGCTTTTAGCCCTGAACTTAGTTAAGAACGCATCTGGTGACCAGAATAATACTAACCGAAGTTAAAGCATTTTATATTTAACTGTTAACTAGGGTCCACAAATAGCCTACAAAATATTATTAAAAAGAAAATTTACCTGTTTTTTAATCGCTTTTGTTAAACCAGCTTCGTAATCGCTCATCCAATATATTGGTTTAAAATCTAATTTTAAATTGCGAATAGCTGTTGTCAACACTTTTATGATTAATTCATAAGTTTCGTAATTCTGGTATTCGCATAAACAAAAGACTAATGGTACTAAAAATAAAAATGCAAAAAGAATAGTGAAAAAAATTTTCTTTTTCTGGTAACCAGATTGTAATTTATTTTTACCAGGATGTTGTTCTTCAAATTCACCCATTATGATATAATTTTGACGAGTCATTTTTGCAGCTGTTTCAAACGTTCCGTCGCTACCGATACGTTTGGATTTCGATAAAATATCCAATTGTAAATCGCTAGCATAAATTATTAAACGACCGACTTTAGCTGGTGCTGATTCATATGGTGATTGAACAGAATTTGAATCATACAATAAAAATCTTGCTCCTTGATCTGTAGATGTAAATGCTGGATGTAGGATGAAATTTGGATCTGTTGGTGATGGTGGTAAATGTTCTTGACGAATACGATATAATTGTGCTTCTAAAAAACATTCAGAAAAAACTGAATTTGGTCACCAGATTCAGCAAGACTAGGATTTTCCTACTGAGATGAAAATTTATTAAGCTTTTTTTCTTTCATTATATCTTATCTAAAGAAACTGATCGGATGACAACTGGCCACCAGATCAGTATGTAGACTGTCTAGAGAAGATAAGGTTGTAAAAAAGTATTTGTTTACTTACGCATATTGTAAAACGTTGGCAAAATTTTTAACATTTCAGATGAATATTTTCCTTTCATCAATTCGTTGTCATAAATTGTTCGTGGAGTAGATAATTCTTGTCGACAACGGTCTCTTATACGTTGTTTAAATTTTCGAATTTCAACATTTTTTGGTGCTGGTTCATGGATATGTTGGCCTTGAATAGAATAAATCCGAAAATAATTTTTCACAGTTGGATCTGATGATCGAACAATTATTGATGAACATTGGTAATTACGTCGATATTCGCATTCCCATGTTGTAAAATTTTTTCCATAGTTTTTAACGAAATAGGAATATCCAGCCATATTCAGTATTTGTTTTCCACTTGCTGTTTCTGTAACTGTTATATCATCTTCAATCCAATATTTGATTGATGATGTATCTGATTGTAACGTACGCCCACCAGCTTTAATTGGATCTCCAATTTTATACGGTTTTGTTGGATCAAGTAATTCAACAGCTGGTCCTGTTATCGTTGGTTGGTAGTGAAAGATTGTCGGTGTTTGTGGATGAACTAGTTGATGTTGTCGAGGAGAAGTTGATTGACGTTGTTCAGGAGAAGCTGATAAACTTCGACTTGCAGATTTCTGTTGGTGTTGTTGTACCGGTGAAATAATTATTGATGGTGGTGAAGCGGGAGGCGAAGACCCTGATTGTAATTGTAGCATAGGTGAATGTTTCGGGTGACCTGATGGTATTTGTGAAGATAAAGATATTTGCCCTGGTACTGTTTGTACTGAAATTGTTGTTGGTAATGTAGCAGCTGTTGTAAATGGTTGCTGTATTTGTGTAGTGGAACATTCAGTATTTGGAGCATATAACAATTGTTGTGATGTTGATGTTGTTGTTATTGTTGATGCTGTATATGAATGAATTGATGGAACATTTGTTGCATAATATGTCGATTGTTGTATCTGGTGACCAGTTTGATCAGATGATGAGGGTTGATACGATACTGTATCATCTGCTTGTCGATAAATTGCAGAAGATGGTGGCTGAAATGGTGGTAACATATTTAGATTATTCATCATTCTTAATGATAATATCATTTCCCAATCACGTTGTGATAATAGTTGTGATTGAGGTGGATATGAATATGATTGATAATACTGTTGTTGAGATGGTGGTGAAGGATTGTACAATGGTGATGAAGAAGATGGTGTATGAAATGCTAATAATGTTGGATTTTGAACAATAGAATGAGAATGACATAATGGTGTTGTTGATGACGACGATGTATTTGAAGGCAGCAGAGGAACGGATGTAGCAGATTGAATGATGTTATTAATGTTGTACATCATAAAAAGAAATGGTGATGAATATAATCTATAGTAAAAATCAAAAAAAAAGAAGACAGTTAATTCCTCTGGTGACCAAAATCAAACATTTCTATACAGCAAAAATGATCATAGAAACCATGTTTTCTTAAAGAGGTAACTGTTCTTTCTGCTTTATATATATAGATCCTGACATCTAATATTTAACACAAAAGGAAGAACCTGCATATATCGGAAAACAACTCATTAACATGTGTTTTACAATTTATTTAGACTAAGCCAAAATATAAAGCTGCTACATCTTAACTTTAACATTTTTCGCAATCTCTCAAACCGACTGATGCAAAAAATTCACTGGCGTTGTTTTCGATCCGATCCCACTCTAAAGTCTAGAAGTATTTCTTGTTCAGGCTAATTTGATATTAATGCAGACTATGTTTTTAACTTACTACTTTAAAACAGAGTTACCTATGAGCTTTCCTGTTTTGATTATATCCTTTAAAATTTATTTTCTGGTGACCAGAAACTTACTTTTCTTTACCGCTTTAAACGTAGATGAGTTGTATAATTTTTTTATTTTCATATAATGAAAGAGAAAATAATGTAAAATATGGCATATAGCAAAAGGGTACTTTGAGTACGATGATAAGCTCAACATATATAGGCACCTAATTATATCAAAAGAAAATAAGAAAAAAGACAAAAACAAATAGAAGAGAAACAATACAAAATTACATAACAATAATGTTTTTATTTCCAATTCTGGTTACCAAATTCTGTTTTTTTTAACAAATCATTTTGTTAATTATTACTTGAAGTGTCTGTTGTTAATGATGTAGATGTTTTCTGCGGAATTTTTCCAATTTTTTTTGTTAATGCTTGATAATTACGTGCAGATTTTTTGTTGTTCACTTTTTTTTTTTTGATGGATTAGCAAGTGGTGCTGTATTTGTATCTTCATCATTTTGCTTACGTTTACTTGGTTTGACGATTGGTAATTGATATTGTTTCTTTTTTATCTTTGAACGTAAGCCGAATGATCGTCGTTTGAAACTATATTATATAAGGAAGATAGAAGGTAATTATAGGCAGGAAAAGATAGCTTTTGCACTATAAATAAAAGTAAGCTCACCATTTTGGTGTTTCGTGAGCAGTGCTAACGTTTTTAGGAGAAACATTCTTTTGTTTTGGTTGTGATGGTGGACTTTGTTGTTGTGGAAGTGGTGATGTGTTGATGGTACTATCAACTGTCTTTGAATGTTGAGGTGAAGCTGAATGTAGAGTATCAGATGATGATGCTGGATTATTTGTAGATATTGTACACTTTGAAGGTGATAATTGAGTGTTTGTATTAACTGTAATTGAAGAAAATGTTTCCCCAGGATCTGGAGAAGGACATCGTTCAACCTGTAAGTAGTTACATAAAAAAAGTACATTTCTAGTTACCAGAAGCTAAACTTTCTTCATTAAAGAACAGTGTACTTACAACATTTTTTATTTTTGATTCAATTGATGTTGAATTAATATCAGTATTATCACTGCCATCTAGACAATCATTATTAATGACAGTTTCCTTCCAATAACTAAGTAATAATAAACTTACCATTATTAGTATTTTTTTCACAAAGTACACACTAAGATAAAATGTGTCGCATGTGTCGCACTTTGCGACACAATGTACGACACATTAATATGCGGCACGAGGAGCTCGTTGCGACACATTTCTTCCAGCGGACGTACGACACATTCTTGTGCGACACATGCGACACATTTTTAACACGTGGTTCGAATCCATTTTTCGCCACGAGGATTTTTTTTTTTTTTTTTGAAAATTCGAATAGTTACTATTTTTTCAGTTAATTTCAAACAGTAGCACCTATTCTTGGAGTTCGAGACGGTAGATCTTAAGATCTAGCTGCCTCGAGACCATTTGATCTCGATCAGACTACTTCGAGGCAGTCCATTCTCGATCATCTAGCGACCTCTCGACATGTTCTCGAATAATAAATGGTCGAGAAATAATCTAGAAAAAAAAGACATACGAAAATGTATAAGTCAAGTACATCCAATAGGGTCGGTTATATGCAGCTGCACTCGCGAAACAAATCGGTGAATGAACGATTGACATATAGGCTATGACACATCTATAATGCGACACATTTTTGTACGACACATTTTTGTAATGGAGTCTGCGACACATTCTTGTACGACACATATATACGACACATTTTATTTTAGTGTGTACAGCAACATCAATCAAAGTATCATTGTTTTTACCAACACCACCTTTAATATTGTTACGATCTTCCTGCAGTATAAAAGATAAAAAGGTGAATCTGAGAATCTGGTCACCACTTTGTAAAATAGCAAAAACCTACTTCTGAGTGATTTTTATTTAACTTTTTATTTTCTTTTTTATTATCTTGTTTATTATCAAGTGAGTTGATCTTATTTTCATTTAATTTTTCCTATGTGACAAAACAAAAATAGAAAATGTATATAATTAATCGTTAAGAGTGAATAGAGTATTAGTCAGTACTCACATCATCAATTTCCATCACTTCATTATCTTCACTATTGTAGGTTGTTGAATGTTTTTCCTTCATCATTTCCATAGGCTTAAAATAAAAAATAAAAGTAGTTAAATTTGTTCTAGAAATAGTAAAATGTATTCATGTTACAGCTCTGTGACAACTTACTTGTTTTTCTTCTTTTTTACGTTTGTTACCACCACCAGCTTTTTTCTACCCAGTATAAAAATGAAAAAATTGCATTACTAACAATCAAAATTAAAAATAAAAGCTAAGAACTGACCCTTTTCTTCTCGTCCTCTCGACATTTGATCATTATTGCTCGTGGAATTGGTATCGATTTAGCAGGAAACACTGCACCTAATTCGAAATTTTCACCATAATATTCGAAAAGCCTATAATAAAAGAACAATATGAAGTAAAAGAAAATAATATTTGAAAGCTATTCCTTACGACTTTTGTGCTGTGGGTGCTACGAAATGTGGATTACTAACAACTTCTACATTGCTTGCAATAAGTTGAACAATAGCATTGGCTCTATCTTTAGTAATTTCGACATTTTGTATGTCCAATAACACTTTTAATTGCACGCCGGTTAATAAAACACCATGTTCACGTCCATAACTCAAAACGTTATTCACACATTCTTTAACTTCTTCATTTTTGTGTAACAATAAGTAAAGTCCGCCTATTTGGAAAGAATGACAAACAACATTGTTGACATCATTAAAAAGTTCCTATTACAATTATATACTTACAATTCTTAGAACCACCTCGCCAGTTTATATGTTTACGTTTTGTACCACCAACTAAAACTAAATTAAAAACAAAAAAAAATGAATTTTCAGTTTCTGGTCACCAGTTTTAAACATCAGAAAGAAAAAAACGTATTGAATAACGTCATTAAAAATCCTCTTTAATAACATCTATCTACTTCAAAATTTGAAAAACAATTTGCTTTAAAAACATACCATTTGTTTGGGATGTTTCTTCAGCTGCAATTTCAACTTCAATCATATTTTGTTCTTCTTCTTTTTCATTTCCTTCTTCTAAATCACTTGCTGTTGCATCATTCACTGTTCCACTTGCATCATCATCAGTATGTTCAACATCTACAAGCAGAAATAAATAAATTTCAGTTGTGGTGACCAGAAGTCAAAAAAATTATATCTAACTTCTTAGATTATTGACTTTTTTAAAACTCACCTGATTTTTCTTCTTCATTATCATTATTGCTTCGAGACTTTACATATTTCAAGTTTTTAGTCGAAAAATCAGTTTCAGATTTTCTATCATCACCACTACATTTATTTCCATGAACTTTTTCAACATCACGTACTGAACCTAAATCTTTAATAAAAATAAAATAATTCATCACTTTCATATTATTCAAAGTAGAAACAAGATAAATTCTATGTGACAAGAAAATACTAGAAAAATGTATCAATCACTTACCAACGGAAACTCTTTTTCTTTTATTTCTCGATGTTTTATTTTTCATTACTCCATCAACATATAAATAAAGTTTTCCCTTCTTAAGTAAGATTTGCTGTGTAATTGTCGTTCTTGATGAATTTCCTTTGAATAAAATTGTTGATTCCATCGATTTTTTTCGATGTTGACGATAAAATTCATTTATTTTTTGTTTAAGTTCATCTGTACCTTTGACACCAGCAAATAAACATTTGTTTGTATTGTATGATGAAAGATGTTTTAAAATATAATTTTCAAGATCAACTAAAGCAAGAAAAAAAAAACAAATATCAGTAATAAGAGAAAGATTGTTTTAGCTCGTTAGCATTCTGGTCACCAGAAACAATGATATTAGAGAAAGACAATATGTTTCAGATTGTTAACATTCTGGTGACCAGAAACAGTGATATTATAAAAAGACAATGGTTTTTACCGTATTAATATTCTGGTCACCAGAAACCAGATATTAGTATAAAGACAAAGACAAGAAATACGAACAAACTTTAGTTTGTAAGAAAAGAAACAGACTGTGTTTTTGGTCACCAAACTCAAATTTTTATGAAACTAGCTGAAACTAATGCTTGCGTTAAAAAACAGTTGAATCATTGAAACTAACACAAATAAGTTACTAACCTTGATTTGTTAAATTTCGTTTATATAAAATCATACATGGAGTTTCTAAAAACTGATCAACACCTCCACTTTCTTCGATACTTGTTGCAAGATCATATTGTGCTTCTGTACCACTTTCATTATCAATATTTTCTTCATCAAGTTCGGATTTAATAATTTCTGCTTTTGATATAGATTTTGTTTTTTTCATTGTACTTGTTTTATGTCGTGTTGTCATAATTGAAGACAATTTCGTATCTTTTGACAAAGGTAATGATGATGGTGATTGACTGATTGAGGATAATGGTGAATTAGTAGCAGCATTAGCTGTCGTCGGTGACAATGTCTGATTTGTAGACGATGAAGACGATGACATGGTACTATTCGATGGTTTTATAGCTAATGGTAATCTGGTTGTTTTTGTGGTCAATGGCATTCCAGTACGTGGTGTTGTTCCTTTGATTCTAGCGATATTGTTACAATAACAATTATTTACAAATAACAAATTAAAAACAATGAAGTCTAAAAAGAAATATAGAACATTCTTGCATTTTCTAACATTCTGGTAACCAGAAGTGATTCCCTATGATTCTGATAACCAGAATTTATTCTCTATGATTCTGGTTACCAGAATTCATTGTCTAAGATTTTGGTAACTAGAATTAAAAAAGAAATCATTTATACGCATTTTGCAGTATTTCCAATAGAAAAAACTCAAAGGGGAGTGCACATATATATTTCGTCAACCAATATTTGTTTTCTTCGTAGGGTGTGCAGTGACATAACAAAATCTATTCTCAAAAAATCTCCTGTACATACACTTCAATTTCACAAGGTAGAATCACTATTATAAAGACTTCATACTCCTATACGACTCTTAAAAGCCTACTGTGAGCCAAAATTACTATCTTAAATTCAAGCCAGAAATAGTATTTACAAAAGTATAAACTTACATAGGAACAAACATATAATTAATACGATGAACTGTACGTTGAATTTGTTAAAAACAGTTATGACTAAAAGGTTTATTTTTCGAGTATTTATATCCTGTGCGCAGCCGTCCGTCTATGCTATTTTCTAGTCTCTGAATGATTTTTCTAGAAAATAATGTTCCTCCTCGACGATCTTGAAATAGAATGATCACAAAAAAAAGATTTTGCAGTCGGCAGAATCGACTAAACAAATCTTTTATCTCAATAGACACGAGTTTGTATTACATCTTATATATTACGTTGGACGTTTAACTTTAGTCAATGCACATTCTATCTACACGATACATTTATTTTCTTAAACCACGCACACTGATAATATATTATTTCTTTTCTCGACGTGCAGACTGTAGAAGAAAGAGGAAAAGAAAAATGCATTTCAAATGTTTATGTTGATAAATGTAGAGAATGAATACGCAGCAATTCTGGTGACCAGAGTGTACCTACTTGTACTACAGTTTCTGATACAATACTGGAGTGTCAATAATAAAAGATTTACAGTAAGGTAGAAGATGGTGTTGAATTGTGATGCATGTGGCATACCTTTATATTAAAAAAAAATCCCTAAATTGAAAATCCCTAAATCAAAATCCCTAATTGGTGACCAGAATTAATCATAATTCCTTAATTATCCACAAATGTGGATACGATTTAGGGATGAATCTGGGGATAGCAATTTGTGGTAAATGATAACCTACCCAATGAATCCCGTCAGAATGGTTCCTGGTCACGCGTGTGAATAGAATAGCTATTTATTCTTTTTCGTTCAATTGCGATTTACTTGTCAGTGAAAAAGAATAAAATATAAAATTAATCATCGTTTTCAGTACATTCAATGTCAAATTTCTGTATACGATGATTTCCGTAATCGACAACATAGAGATTACCGTGTCGATCGAATGATAAACCCATAGGACAATTTAGTTGATCTGACTGTGCTCCTGGACCATTTACTCCAACAATGACACTTCCCTTTGTGGCACCTTTTAACCAACGCATGATTCGATGATTCCAAGAATCAGCCACATACACAGTACCCGATTGGTCGACAACGATTCCTTCAGGATATGATAATTGTGTAAGACTCTTGCCTTGTCCTTGACCACCAGCTACGACAACACCTTGTTTTGCACCTTTTACCCATTTCATTACACGATGATTATGATAATCGGACACGTATAATGAATGATCTCGATCGAAAAATATGTAGGTAGGACCAGAGAGTTGATCTAAACGATTTCCTTCTCCATTGCCACCTGCAACCACTTGTCCATCTGGATCATCAATTTCATATCGTGCCACTTCATGTTCATCACGATGAGCAACATAAAGAAATCCATCATTGTCCATTGTCAAACCGATGCATGAGATATTCGAAACAATTGTTTTTCCACTAGTGCCATTTTGACGAGGCCATAGAACTACTCTTTTATTCTCGGTATCACTGATGATGAGATTATCTGTCTTTTTGTCAATAATAACATCTGATGGACTGTTCAACTGATGAGCTCTATTTCCTTCGCCATTTCCACCGGCAATCACTTTTCCATTCGTTGCACCAAATTTCCATTTCATAATACGATTGTTTGAAGCATTAGAGACATATATTGTTTGATCATCGTCGACGTATAAGCCCCATGGGAAATAGAGTTGATTGATTTTATCACCTGCTCCATTTCCTCCAGCCATAGTAATACCATTCTGTTTCCATTTTGCATTCCGAGGAATATCAGTAGAACTCGCACGGAGTGGTACTGAAACGAAACAAAAGTATGGAGTAGAAATAAATATTGATGTCATTGAAATGAAGCCTACATTTGTTTTGAATAGTACTGAATTACTCTCAATGACAAAAACTTATCTTTTTGACTTCATTACCATCTAATTTTGTCAAAGCTTAAAATAAACATTATTGATTTTCAAGCATTTCATTCAATTTAAAGTTATTCATACGAATGTTTTTGACTACTTATTAATAATTTCTGAACAAGATCATTATTTTCTTTTTTTTCTCTTAGAATAATCACCAAGGTACTGAAAATCTATATTTTCGTTTCTGGCAACTTATAATAGAAATTTTGAAAATCAGTCAAACTTTAAGAATCTATGTGTCTGATTGAAATCATATTAAGATCCAGATAAATTTTGAAATCAATGCACAAATAATTCAACTAACTAAATTTCAATGTGTCGTGCTTAGAATGTGTCGCATACAAATTTGTCGCCTTCTGTCTGCTGTCTGTTTGTTCGCCGTTTTGTTATGCACACAGCGATATATAAACAATGCGCCTGAATGTAGGAAAGATAATTTTTCAAAATACTCTTCTTTTCTAAATTATTTCTCAATCATTTTTGTAACCGAGACAATACTAATCTCGACCAATGATCAAGAGAGGACTACCCTGAAGCGATTTGATGCAAATCGGATCAACTCGAGATCGGGCAGATCTCAGCATTTGACCTGTTTGAGTTTTTAGAACAGGAATATTTGAATGAAATTAAATTTAAAAAAAAAATGGAAACATGCTTTTCCAAAAGAAACAACAGAAAATGTGTCGTTGTCTTGCTGGAGAAAATGCGTCGCAGGGTGTGGATGTTGGTAATATCCTCAGCCACACCCATACCAAGGATTTATTTCTGATCGACTATGAAATTTCATCAGTGTCATTCTTTTAAGCTTTTACAATTGCATTTAGCATAGTATAAGATTCATTTTTATATAAAAGATTCATCTCAAGATAAGACTTTCTTTTGATGAGCTTACCGATACAATTGCTACGTTCATTATCATTATTTGGATTTTTGAGTGGAAGTGGTTTTTGATGCAATTGCTTGCTTCTACCATAATCACTGGTGATTGATGAGGATTTTCCAAGATCTTCGTACAAATCATCAAGTGAAGAATCGTTTGATGGAAGTTAGGGTGTAGGTATGGGTATGGATAGGATGTGGCTGAAGGTAGGCATAGGTGTTGATGTCACTATTCTGCTAATCAACCTCCCAACACCTACACACCGCACTCGCATCTCACACCGACAAATCCCTGCCTGCACCCAAAAGCTTTTCTTCTTACCTGTCGATTGTTCACATAAATAGATATTTTTATGTCTTAATTGAACGCTCATAAATGGAATCTGTCTTTCACCTGAGTCTCTCATGACTCCATCAGTCACGTCACGTAATACATTTATAATATCTTCGTTTGGAGTTGCAATGTGTTTCAGAAGATGCTCCATAAATAAGCTATTGTTCTCGGCCGATCTATCATCTATTAATGTACCAGGTGCACAAGCGAACGCAATTAACGCACCTGCTTTATGCATTTCTGTTAAACCTATGGATTTAGGATCGCTTTTGTTCAAGGCGCGTGTATTCGACTGTGCATTCCTTAAAAAATACTGTCTACAACAATCTAAAAGAAAAATCGTTACGTATGGCTTTCGATCACTTAATGTGTTAAGAACATCTTGTGCATTGATGGCATGCGTTTTTAAAGTATCAGCTTTCTCCTTTTCTGAATTTATTGTATTTATATCAGGAACGTCTGCTGGCAGCAAATAATTTTGGTCCTAAAAGAAATACAGAAAAAAGTCAGAAAAAGAGAAACAGCTTAATAGTAAAAACTTTGATGCATACTTCCCATTGTACCCCATGTCCAGCAAAATAAAATAGGACTATGTCGTTGGGTTTTATTGAGTCTTCAAATTCGATAAGAACATGTTTCATTTGTTTACAAGTTTTATCCAATTGTGGATTATCCCATTGTAGTTGATCGGTATTGAAACCAATACGCTTCAACAGAGATGACAATTGTTTCGCATCGTTTGCTGGATTTTTTAACTCGTTGACATGTTTATAATCACCAATACCGATTATAAGCGCTAATTTGCGTCGTTTTCCAGGTGTATTATCAGATGTTCCTTTGGCTGCCATCAACAATAGGATCAAGCTACAAAAGCTATATCTAAAATATTTGTCTCGATCACAAGTTTGATATAGCTACGAAGATTTAAAGGAGCTTTTAATAATGGCTACAAATGAAGCTAATCATTCAGATACTTTATCTAATGGATCAGTAGATCTAAATATTCCGTTCTATTGTTAGATGGAACACATGTCTGTTGCTTTTCATGTGGTGATATAAAATCTTGAGGGTGAATGTAAATGTTGGCATAGATATAAAATCCCATTTAGATCTCTGTGTGTTGGAATGGCCAGATCGTCGATGAGAATTCATGAAACATCTGTACTTGCATCCGCACCAACACTTCGACGTATTCGTCAGTATTGAAAATTTCTGATCGGTTTTCTCATGCATCCAAGTATGCTTCATTATCCATCCCTTTTTTAAAGCATATATTTGTGGTAAGAATCTGTTGCCACTGATGCCAAGGTATTGAACACAATTCTACAATCCATCCTTTTGTTTTCATCTTTATACTTTATTGTGAATTTCGAAACTCTCCATTCTCACTCTTTGGTCTTCTTATGCGTTCATAAGCTTTCCATTCGCATCTGAACACAATGATTCTTTTGTAGGAAATTATTGATCATCAATTTTACTTATGACTGTTTTATCAGAAGGTTATCACCCTATTTTTTCGTAATGTTGTGTGACCAGAATGCTGATTTGTTCATGCTGAGGGATAATCCTGTGGCTCAGTTTTTTCATCATCTTGATCAAATCATTTGTGAAGAAAAGGTACTCCGCCACAATTACAACTATATTTCGCTATTTCATCATACTATGGTTATGACATTTCTCATGAAATTAGCAGTCAAATTACCCTAATAGCTCGATTCAAGTCTGTGCTAACTAAAGGTGATGATTTCGATGGAATAGCAAAGGAATACAGCTAGGTGAATTCAGTGAAGTTATTCATGAATATCGATTTCATATCTGCCGAAAACATCTGTAATCAGCATTTCGAATCATATATTAGCTCTATTTATGTTGCTTAAAGTACTCTTTCTAGTCTTCGAAATATTTCGAAAAAATTACTCATGAAAATATAGTAATCAAACGTAACTATACCGAGTAATTTTTAGTGATGATTGATTCCGACTTTGTTGAGTTTTATGTATGCCAGACAAGTCTGTTTTTTGTTAAATGATTCGTCCCTTATTTTTGCATTGTAGCAACATTTTACGTTCTATTTCTGCATATTTCTGTGTTCTTTTGTTTTTATTTTTACAGTTCTTGTAAACTACACACTCTATGGTGACGGATTACACATAACAACGATAAAACATTCAAGGTAACGAAAACGAAACAATTCATTTAAAAATAAATTCATATTTAAAATAAGAAATCAAGCTCATCGGGATCACAAACATCTATTTTCGCTGTCATGTGATATGTATAAGAAGCAATAACATTCAAATATAAACGATGTTTAACAGAGATAAACTGTATTAGGTATCTACGAGGAGATCTAATTATAGAACTCTAATAGAAAATGATTCTGCTATAATTGCCTTCGTGACTTTTTTCATTCTTGAATGAATGAATGATACTCACATCATTAAACATTAAACGACTTTGTTATAAGCTTATGAAACATTGATAATTTGCGATATATAATTACAATTTTTAAAGGTAAATTTATATTTTAGAAAACTCATCACATTGATCTTATTTCTTCATCAATGAAGAAAGGTTTTTCCACAAATGTACTCAATTCAGACGGATTGCGAAGTTTTCTTTTAAAAGCGTTGCGAAAACATAAGAAGCTGAAAGAGATGAGTTATACATATGAGTCAAGTCTTTATTGGTTTTATTGTAAGTCTATCAAATATTTCTAGAGAACTACACAAGATGAATAGAAAGTTATTTAATTAAAGAGAATCTTGACCCTTATGACAAGCGTCATGAATATGTACTCTCACTTTTGCTATGCTAATATTTACTTATCAATCTTGGAATGATTAGAAACATGTGTAAGATGAATAGAAATGTTTTTCATATGTCAATTTTAAACTTCTTTCAAATTCTTCGATTCATAGAGACATAAAAATCTAATTTCGTTTGATTGCGTTCGATATTGGATGAATTTCAATGTACAAAATAACATCATCAAGAAAATTCTTTTCTTATTGGCATCTAAATCAGAAAAACTGTACGTATTAAAAATGTCTATTAATAGAGAAAACATAGTAGATAACATGTAGTCATTTGCTATGTAGGAAAAATAAATACGTTCCAAGCAAAATACAATTGTAACACTCATCTATCAACAATTTTTGTTCGTATGCCTGCTAAAATGAACTATGTTTACATATGCGATAAAAATGATGAGAAACATCGCTATCATTTTGTAAATAATAAACACTCGTATAATAGACATGAATCTTATATTAGTTAATTTTTCTTATTTCGATGCACAACGAAGTTTGTTCAAATCGACAGCCTTGTTCAATACGTAAATCGACTTTTTAATGCAACAGCAACAAAAAAGAAACATTATCAATGCAGTGCACTTCTTTTGTCTTCGCACAGACACGAAAGCTTGTTCTCCAAATAAAAAAAATGTCCATCATGTCGATTACCTTATGAATTTGCAACATTTCTTCCGAGGCAGCACATAAACAATCGAAAGAAAAACACAAGAATGCATATTAATGAGTGCTACTTTTATTCTTCTTCTTCTTTTCGTTTCTGCAGTGTGTGACAATATGAAAGTACATGGTGTAAAAAAAAGAATGATGAAAGAAAACAAGGTTCTGAATTTCTTTTTTCTTTCCTTTAATATAATTCCATTTCATCAAGATTATTTTTTTGCAACATGCTGTCTCTAGACTATTATCGTGTTGGCAAGTTTCAATGAATACGAACTGCTCACTATCTTATATCTATTTTGTTTCTCTTTGTGGTTTCATGCACATTTCGCGCTCTGTCATTAATATCTAATGGTGTAAATGTCAGCTTTTAGTGCCGGAGAAGACACTTTTGGGTGTGGGTGTGGGTGGGTGTGAGTGTGGGTGTGAGTGTTTGGGTGTGGGTGGCGGCGTGTGGGTGTGGGTGGATGTGGGTGGGTATGGGTGTGTGGTGTGGGTGTGGATGTGGATGTGGGTGTGGATGTGGGGTGTGGGTGTGGGTGAGTGTGGGTGTGGATGAGGGGTGTGGGTGTGGGTGGGTGTGGGTGTGAGTGTGGGTGTGGGGCGTGGGAGTGTGGTGTGGTGTGGATGTGGGATGTTGGTGTGGGTGGGTGTGTGGGTGTGGATGTGGATGTGGGTGTGGGTGTGGGTGTGTTGGTGTGGGTGTGGATGTGGGTGGGGGTGTGGATGTACTCCTTGTTTTTATTCATACCAGCACCCACACCAAGGTGTATAGGTATTTGAGGCTACTAGATCTATGCAGCTCAACGATTCAAGAATTTGGCAAGATAGAGAAATGTGAAATTTTTGGTTGAACATATATCATTGAGGAGGATGTGAGTGTGGGTGTGTAAATTTTTACTCTATGACCCATCTACACGCACACGCATACCAGGGTGTCGGTGTGGATGTCTATTCATCAAACTCAAATACATGACTACCTACATCTTCCGCGATTCCCTCAATAACATCAAACACCTACACCCGCACATAAACCTTATTTCCACATGCGACGATACATATACAGACAGATGTACAAAAACACATAAATTTCTTTTGCTCCACCTGAGCCTCCTGTATGCGAAAGGTATCAATCGTGTTTCAAAGCTTACAGAAGAGCAACGATTCTTAACTAATTTTTGTATAAACATATTTTTAATCAATGGAGTGGCATAGGACTAAGGTGAAGAAAAATGAAGAGTGCAGAATAGATGCCAATGGCAACAAAGTGGACACAGATAAGATTAAAAATGAACACACTCGAAAAAGAAAACTTTTTGTGGTTCTTTAAGAGAATCGAAGTTTCGTGAAGATGACTATGAGGCTCAAGATCAAGAAGATCAATGTTTGATTGTTGGTGCGTGCTTCATTACAAAGATCTGTTGTGCAGCATGCTGTGCCTGAGGCATAACCTAAGACAGTAGTGAATCCAAGAGAAACACATGTGGGTGAGCCGTAGCGGTTGGCGACATTTAATAGTACAGTTTTCTCAACGAAACGTAGACTGCAACTATGTAAGTAAAGTGTAAATAAGAGATACGTACCACGCAATACGTATTTTCGGAAACAGATCCTGTTGTAGTGACACCCGAACTCGATACATTGAATGGATCATTACAACCTGAGCTGCCCGATGAACATGAATAACAATTGAGAGCCGAGCATACAGAGAACAAAGCTAGTAAAACACTAGATTTCGTTGCAATCATACTGATCTGAGACTTACCGAATAAACAATCAGCAACGATAGTGTTCATTCGGTGCGTGTCGATACTTCAGAACCTTCCAATGTGAGTGCTGACTGATTTTTTTTCTTCAACTTCTTGTAGCTGCCCGTAATGCTTCATAGTCAATGCAAGTAACAGTTGTTTACCCAGCACAAATTGTTAGCAATTTCCAGGGTTTTATTTCTTTTCTATTATTCTTGAAAGTTTTGCAATCTTTTCCTCCTTCCCAAAAATGCTCATTTTAATCGACTCTGGGCATTCTATCGACGGAAAAACAACGTCGGATGCAGATGTATGTGTCGGTGTTTCCTTTTCTTCGCTAATGTCTGATTGTGCTTGATCGTGCATACAGTAAGCGCCATAAGTGGATCCGCGCTCTTTTCGTTGTTCAACAGTGACCTTTCTTTTATCTTTTAGCTTTGTTTGAACAGACAGTTATGCCCATCATCTCATATAAATAGGAAAATTTATACTCATTCAGTTACCAATATATAACTTAATAGAAAATGAGCCTTTTTTTTTAAAAGACGAGAAATTATCTTTCTATAAAGGCAGAGCTATTCTCCACATATGTCAAATGCTGATATTTCACGGTATTTATAAAAATCA